ACACAAATGGTAGCATACTATAAATTTCATAGTATTAATATTTTATTATATTTGCTTTAAATTCCCCCCACAAGGAATAAAAAACATTATCAGTGAGACCAATCTATATTTATGAATGATGTTTATTTAAGCTACCTTTGAACTTTTAAATGTGAATGCATCTATAACCAATATAGAGCTTGCTTTAAGTGTGTAACATTTGAGTGCTGTACACCAACCCATTTTTCTATAAACCCTGTGGTGTTTTTTTTTTTTTAAAGATTTATTTATTTATTTGAAATATTTCAGAGTTACAGAGAGGAGAGGGAGGGAGAGAGAGGTCTTCCATCCACTGGTTCACTCCCCAAGTGGCCGCAACGGCCAGAGTTGCGCTGATCTGAAGCCAGGAGCCGGGAGCTTCTTCCAGGTCTCCCACACAGGTGCAGGGGCCCAAGGCTTTGGGCCATCTTCTACTGCCTTCCTAGGCTATAGCAGAGAGCTGGATCAGAAGTGGAGTAACTGGGTCTTGAACTGCGCCCATATGGGATGCTGGCACTGCAGGTGGTGGCTTTACCTGCTACGCCACAGCACCGGCCCCAGCCTGTGTTTTTTATTGGATAATTTTTTGTTGCATAGTGATTTTTAGAAATATATATGTGTATAATAACAGATCCTTTAATAGATATTTCAGAGAGTCTGTAAATGCTGACTTTTCTGTTTTTTCTTTTTCTTTTTTCTTTTTTTTTTTTTTGACAGGCAGAGTGGACAGTGAGAGAGAGAGAGAGACAGAGAGAAAGGTCTTCCTTTGCTGTTGGTTCACCCTCCAATGGCCGGTGCGCTGCAGCCAGCACACCGCGCTGATCCGATGGCAGGAGGCAAGTGCTTCTCCTGGTCTCCCATGGGGTGCAGGGCCCAAGCACTTGGGGCATCCTCCACTGCACTCCTGGGCCACAGCAGAGAGCTTGCCTGGAAGAGGGGCAACCGGGACAGAATCCGGTGCCCCGACCGGGACTAGAACTGGTGTGCTGGTGCCACAAGGCGGAGGATTAACCTATTGAGCAATGGCGCCGGCTCTGCTTTTTCAGTAGCATTTGCTGGTAGAAAACTAATATCATACAAAATTTAATTCAAATAACATTACAAAGGAGAGAGACATTTCATATGGATAAAAGAAATAGCCATCATAACTTTATATAAAGGGGGATGGGTATTCGACACTTGTGTGCCATATTGTAGTGCTTAGGTTCTGTTTCTCACTCTGGCTCCCTATTCCAGCTTCCTGTCCATGCACACTTTGAGAGGCAGCAGTGATGGCTCAAGTAATTGCATGGTACTGGATTGAGCTCCTGGCTATGGCCAGGGTCAGTCCTGGCTGTTGCAGGCCTTTTAGGGAGTGAGCAGGCCGAAGCAGCTCTGGTCATTGCTCTGTCTCTTTGCCTCTTCAATAAGAAAGAAAGAAGGAATTTAAACTACATAGGTGAAAATTGACAAAATTGTAGGGGGAAATTAACAGAACCACAATCATTATGGTATATTTAAATTCACCTCTTGGGGGACGTGCTTTTCACTGGAGAATATGTAATAGAGAGGACCCTCAAAATAAGAATAGATTTGGATGTTCAACTACTAGACCACATTAATAGATCCAGGAGAGTAAGCATATTATCACTCTAGTGGATACCAGAGGTATTTGATAGACTTCAACCTTTTTATTATAAAACCATAACAAATTAGGAGTAGACTTTTATCCTAAGGTAGTATCCCTAAAACTATAGCAGATATACTGAGTAGTTAACTTTAGATGCTTTTCTGATCAAGAGCTAGATAAAGATGTCAGGATCAGTCCTAACATTCAACGTTATGTTTTTAGATTTTAGGCAGTTTGGTGAGAAAAGGGGAAATAAGATATACAGAAATGGAAAAAAAAAAGATAAAATTGTCATTTGTGGATAAAAATATCTATGTATAAAATTGAAGGGAAGTAATTGACTATTAAAATAAGAATATTATAGAATTTCTTAATGCAAGAAAAGACAAAATCAATATTTGTAGGCCAACAATAATCAGATAAAAATTTTAAACAAAAATCCTCTTATAACACTTAACATAATAAAACCTAGAATCTAGAATAAGTCTAGTAAAAAATGCAGATTTCTTAAAGAAAACTGTTAAATTTTATTGAAAAAGATAAGAGAACTTAGTATGTGGATTTGTGACATATTCATGGATAGAAAGGTTCAATACAATTAAGATGTTGGTTTTCATAGGTAGTTTGTAAAACTGCAATTTTAGTAAAAGTCCCAATGTGATTTTTTGAGTAGAATTTGAAAATAGTCTTTTAGTCTTTTTTTTTTTTTAAGATTTTATGTATTTGTTTGCAAGGTAGAGTTGCAGACACAGACAGACAGAAAATTCTTCCATCCCTGGTTCACTCCCCAAGTGGCTGCAACTGCTGGAGCTGGGCCCATCCAAAGCCAGAAGCCAGGAGCTTCTTCCTGGTCTTTCTGGTGAGTGCAGGGGTCCTAGCACTTGGTTCATCTTCTGCTGTTTTCCCAGGCCATAGCAGAGAACTGGATCAGAAGATGAGCAACTGCTACTGAAACTGGCACCCATATGGAATGTTGCTACCACAGGTAGAGGTTTAACCCACTACACCACAGTGCCGACCCTGAAAAATAGTCTTAAAAAATACCGAAGGAGCAGGCATCATGGTGCAGCAAGTGAAGCTGCCACTTGATATGTTGACATCCCATATTGAAGTACCTGCAATTGAGCCCCACTTTAATCTCTGAGACAGCTTCCTGCTAATTTTTAGCCCAGGAGACAGCAGATGATGGCTCAAGTACTTCAGCCCCTGCCAACCACATGGGAGACTCAGATGGAGTTCCTGGTTCCCTGTCAGTTGTAGGCGTTTGGGGAGTGAACCAGTGGAGAAAGATCTTTCTCTGTTGTTCTGCCTTTCAAATAAATTTTGTAAAAAGTTCTAATAAAGAGTTAATGAGATTTTTACTTAAACAAACTTAAAAATTATGGTTGTAGAATTTTGAATGTTTATAAAGTTGCTGTTAGTAAAATGGCGCCATCTTATATGTGGCACCATCTATGCCCCAGACGCCATCTTAGGTCCTGGCCCCCGTTGCCATGTTGCACAGTAGGCTTTGGTCCTAACCCTCACGGTCCAACCACTGGTGTCAGCTCCACCCCCAACCTAATGAGATTCACTACTCCTACTTCCCTCCCCACCCCACCCCACCCCCCAAGAAAGGGATATTAAGACCTGTTTCAGGACATGTGACTCTCTCTTTTCCTTTTTCACCTCCCCTCCTCTGGCCTGTCTTGCTTCCTCTACCTGACGATATGTTTGGTGTGTTTTGTGGCAGCATTACATTTACTAAAGCTCAAAATAGAAGCAGGTGTTGTGCAGTGAGTTAAGCCATTGCTTAGCTCAACTGCATTCCATGTCGCAGGGCTTGTGTTTGAGTCCTGCTTGCCCTTCTCATTGGGACGCAGCAGGTAATGGCTCTGATATTTGGGTCCCTACCACCTACATGGGAAATGTGGTTGGAGTTCCTGGCTCTAGGCTTCAGCCTGGCCCAGTCCCAACTGTTGTAGGCATTTAGGGGAGTGAACCAGTGGATAGGAGATGTAGGTGTATGTCTCTGCTTTGTAAATAGACTTTTAAAACATAGAAAAATAAAATAGGGTAATGCAAGTAGTTGGGGAAAACAAAGCTTGAAATAGCCCTAAGATTTTGGGATCCTCTCTCTTTAAGTACTTTGATATAGAATTGACATTTGAAAATTTAAATAGGCACTTTGTACATAATTATAGTGTACAATTTGATGTTTATAGTTTCTAGTTTGATAAGTGAAAACTGGTATCTTGGTCTTGTTTATTTGATATTACTTTGATTCCTGGTTATGGTAAATATTTTTAATGTTTTATGTTCTTAATTGGTAGTCACTTCTAATACTACTTTGATGACATTTGCTACTATTGATTGTACACTTTCCTGTCACAAATATTAAGATAAACATTTTACATGCACTACCTCCTGAGCCTGTGAACAACACAGTCAGTTGTAGATATTTTTAACGGGTGAGGAAACTGATATAGGAAAAAGTGACTTGTTCAGTGCTACACAGGAAACTCAGATTCTGGGATCTGTCCTTATACTATTATCTTTCAATTTATGTTAGTATGAATGAGGAATACTGATGCATTTGTTTTTATAGGGGATTGGATTAAATATGCTTATTCTAGATCTCTGTTGAAGATATCTGTGATCACCTGACTCTCTTAGAAGCCAAATGATCAAGTGTCATATTTGGTAGGGTTAGAGAAGAAATAAATATTTTGAATAGTTTGGTTCTAATTAGAGTGTTGGTTATCAGATATTTAGAGTTGGAAGTGTTCTTAATTGTTTCTCAAACTTTTATTTTCTTGCACACTGTTACAAAAATATTCATATTTCCTGAACAAATAAGTTTGGGTAAAATTTATGTTTTTCCTTAACAGAGAAACCTATTAAATGTATTATAGAACTTTCCAAATTAGTTTGTGTACTCTTTTTTGGTAGACTTAATCAGATTTTGTAGAACAGCATTTAATGTATATAGTTTGAGAAAAGTTAATTTGATCCATCCTCAAACTTTGTAAGGGGAGGATGGCGATACAATATATTTAGGAATATAGCTTCAGATAGCTACTAAATGGCAGAGCTGGATCAGATCCAGTTCTTCCTTTGAAGCATGCTTCCTCTGATAATGTTATATAATATTAATGTTTGTCTTTAATATACTGTGTTAAAAAGTTATAAAGCAGATTTGTGTGTTTTCTATTATATTCTCATCTAGTCCATTTATTTGTTTTATCCTCTATTAAATACATACATGTTCTTAAAATTTGGACTAGCCTAACTTATTTAGTGCAAATGCAAATCTGTAATTACCTGTGTTTAAAAATAGATGTAAAAAGCATAATTTTTTCTGTAATTAATGTGTCACAAACGTTTGGTTTAGTTTCTGTAGAAAGTGTTTCCTGACAGCAATGAGAGAAAGTGGAATACATTGTCCCCTGTGTCGTGGAAATGTGACTAGAAGAGAGAGAGCATGTCCTGAACGGGCCTTAGACCTTGAAAATATCATGAGGAAGTTTTCTGGTAGCTGCAGATGCTGTGCAAAACAGGTAGAGTAAATGTGACATAGCTTTTCTTTGAAAACCAAATTTCTACTCTGAAATTCCTGTTTGAATTTTATTGGTGGGTGATGCTTTGAACAGAAATAAGTTATTTAGATTAGTTTAGAATTTAGGCCAGTGGGCCGGTGCTGTGACTTACTTGGTTAATCTTCCACCTGTGGTGCCAGCATCCCATATGGGAACTGGGTTCTAGTCCCAGTTGCTCCTCTTCCAGTCCAGCTATCTGCTGTGGCCCGGGAGGGCAGTGGAGGATAGCCCAAGTGCTTGGGCCCCTGCACCCACATGGGAGACCAGGAAGAAGCACCTGGCTCTTGACTTCGGATCAGCACAAAGCCGGCTGTGGCGGCCATTTGGGGAGTGAACCAACGGAAGGAAGACCTTTCTCTGTCTCTCTCTCACACTGTCTATAACTCTGCCAGTCAAATAAATAAATTAAAAAAAAAAAAGAATTTAGGCCAAAAGTGCTGTGATTTACAAGTCTTACTAATTTATAAACTTACCGAGAACAGGGACTGAAAGGTAAAATCCTTGATTTTGCCTTAATTTTTGGCATGGTGTTTTTCTCAATCACTCATTGATTAATTATTGATTATTGATTAATTAAATGAGCATTAAACATTCTGGTCCACATTCTATTTTTGTTTTTTTTTAGATTTTATTTATTTATTTGAGAGTTAGTTACAGACAGTGAGAGGGAGAGACAGAGAGAAAGGTCTTCTTTCTGTTGGTTCATTGCCTAAATGGCCAAAATAACTGGAGCTGTGCTGATCTGAAGCCAGGAGCCAGGCGCTTCTTCAGGGTCTCCCATGTGGGTGCAGAGGCCCAAGCACTTGGGCCATCTTCTGCTGCTTTCCCAGGCCATAGCAGAGAGCTGGACTGGAAGAAGAGCAGCTGGGACTAGAACCGGCACCCATATGGGATACTGGCACCACAGGCATAAGATTAACCTACTGCGCCATTGCGCCAGCCCCTTACATTCCATTCTTACATAGTTTTTCTGACAGTAAACTTTGACACTTTGTATCTTATTATTACAACTTTGCATATGAAATATTAATTAGTTTAGCCAAATAGGTTTATGTAGCCAGAAAACTCTAGCTGCTCACTTTACTTAGTGTTTATCTAAGAAATCACAAAATATTTTTAAAAAATATTTTATTTATTTATTTGAAAGGGTTACACAGAGAGAGGAATAGACAGAGAGAGATCGTTCATCCGCTAATTCATTCCCCAAATGGCCTTAACAGCCAGGGCTGCTTCTGGGTTTCCCACGTTGAGTGTCAGGGCCCCAAACACTTGGGCCATCCTCTGCTGCTTTCTCACTCACATTAGCAGGGAGCTGGATTGGAAATAGAGCAGCTGAGTCTCGAACCAGTGCCCATATGGGATTTTGGAATCATGGGCTGTGGCTTTACTCATTATGCCCAATGCTGACCCTGCAAAATAGTTTATGAAAGACTTAGTTTTAGGAAAATCCAATTCTAGTCCAGATTTTATTGTTCTTTTGTTCGGTGAAATAGTGAGGGTTATTAGGCTTTGAATATATCTGTGTGTCTGGATTTATCAGACATTTTTCCTACCCCTTGCTAGAGTTCAGTGAGCAAAACCATTTGCTTTTTCATGCTTTCACACAGCTAGATCTGCTTTTCCATTTCTTTGAGGAAGGTGTTTAACTGATAGGGCAATGAAGTAAAGCTAGAAAATGTACTTGAGAGGTTTTGACTTTTTCCTGTGAGAAACGGAGTTATATTCCAATATTAACCTGGGAACTTATACTTCATTGGCATGAGTTAACCTCTTAGTACTGTTAATTTTTTTTTGTTTTGACTATCGGTAATATTACTTGAAGTGCAAAATTATTTGTTGTTATTTTTTGCTGTGAGTTTTTGGACATATAGGCTCTTCTCCATGGTCTCTGAAGCTAATAAACAAAAAATATTACCTGTTTTAACTCACACAGATAAAATCATTTGCTAATTTTTAAGAAAAACTTTTAAGTGATATATTTAGTGATCTGGTTTTAATCTTTTTTCTTCTTGTTGACAGTATCTCAAATCTTGTAAATTTTAAGTTAAAAATCACATTTTGATCAATAATTTACAGATTAAATTCTATCGCATGAGACATCATTACAAATCTTGTAAGAAGTATCAGGATGAATATGGTGTTTCTTCTGTCATTCCAAACTTTCAGATTTCTCAAGATTCAGGAGGGAACAGGTAAGTAATATTTATTCCTAAAAATAAAAGTTTTGTAATGGAAATGGAAATTATTTGGGGAATTATGATAAATTTTTCTTTGTATTTAACTTGCTAAGTATCTTAACTACAGTATTGACATCCAAAGTTTGTTTGTCACATGTGTGATTGCATCTGGAAGATTGACTTCATGATATGCTTAAGTTTATGTTATTCAACGGTTTCTAAGAATCTACATTTCTTTGAATAAAAAACATTTCAGAGAGTAGAAAGCTGTTTCTTGGAACTGAAATGATTTGAAAACTAGAGAAAATTCTTTTCAGTCATTTATGTGAAAATTAGAATATTTGCTACATAGAAATAGAATTATTTGAATTTTTCTGATATAAACTATCAAGTTAAAGTTTAGACTTGTTAATAGTTTTATGTTAGTCTCAACATTTTTAAACTACATTTTGACTTGATTTATGTCTTACTGTCTCAAATTTATGTACATAAAGCATTTTTAGGAAGAATGTTTCACACAGAATGCATGTGTTGTTTGAAACATAGTGTGAAACAAATACCTAGTTACCCACTAACCAACCCACGTCAAGAAATAGAACTTTTTCAGAACTTTAGAAACCACTGCACATTTGAAGTTCGTGCTCCTAGAGGTGATCACTGACTGTCTTCTTATTTGGATTATTCATTCCATTGTTTTCCTTTATGTATTATCATCCCTATATCTATTCTAAACAATACATTGTTTAATTTTCAAAAACTCAACAATAAACGCACATAACCATATAGGGAAAGGCAATATTGTCATTATTATGGAAAGATTCCCTAGAGACAATATATCAAGCAAAGTCTCTAAGATTTTATTTTATTAGCTTTTCATTTACATGTTACTAATTTTCAGTAATTTAACCACCCTTAAGCACTCTATATTCATCGTACTGCATTAGGCTTTTCTCCTCCTCTTTGGTTGAAATTTTTAGTAATTTTCTCATTGCCTAGAGTGCAAAGTTATTTTTAGATTTTCATTTCACTTTACTATCATTGGATGAAATTCACTCATCTTGTGATTATTTTAATCCCTTGAGTTCCTTCATATCTGTGCTTTCTTTATTATTGTGCTTCTGTTGTATTAAAATTATCCATCTTTTACCCAATAGATTGTTCTTAAATGTTGCCTTGTTTCAACATTGACCCTCCAGCTCCTATCAGACTTCCTGGTATATGTGACTTGTGCAGTGACTGCTTATTAATTGACCAAGTTTTCTTTTCGGGAGACAGGCCTTCCTGTGTGTATTCTTTAGATATACTTGGTTATAGACATTATTTTTAAAAAAGATTTATTTATTTATATATTTGAAAGTTGGAGTTACACAGAGAGAGAGAGGTCTTCCATCCAATGGTTCATTCCCCAATTGGATGCAACTGCCAGAGCTGTGCCAATCCGAAGCCAGGAGCTTCTTCCGGCTCTCCCATGTGGGTACAGGGGCCCATGGACTTGGGCCATCTTCTACTGCTATCCCAGGCCATAGCAGAGATCTGGATCGTAAGTGGAGCAGCGGGTCTTGAACCATGCCTATATGGGATGCCGGCACTTCAAGCCAGGGCTTTAACCCTCTGTGCCACAGTGCTGGGCCTGGTTATAGACACTATTGATGACTAATAATATCCCTTATCTGTGCTTTTCTTCTAGCCTGTTACCACTCACTTCCCTGGCTCAAGCATGTATTGTTTCTCACTTTAACAGCTATGGTAGTCTTTTAGTTGATAGTTTTACCGTATTCTGTCCCAAGTATTATAGTATTATTTAAGAAACAATTCTAATCTCTTTTTCACTGTCCCTGAACCTCCCTATTTATACCCTGCCAGTGACTCCCCATCAACCCATAGCACTGTTTCTCATCCTGGGTTCCATGAACCAACTTGATGGCTAAATGACACCCTCCACCCCCAGACTGCTAATTTGTGTGTGTGTACATTGTTTACGAAAGAGGGTTCAAGATTTTCAAGGGTTTTATTAACTAAAATCTAGCAACTGACTTTTAAGACAAAACCCCTATCCCAGAGCTTTTTTGGTCTGGGCTTTTCCTCTCTTCAGCCTTTTTCCCTTCTTGGCCACTCATCAATATATCATGCCTTAGCTATATCCTTGCCATTCTTAGAAACAGTTTAACTTAGTACTTAAAAATGAAGCTTGGTGCCAGAGTGCCTGGAAATCCCAGCACTTATTAACTGTCTGACTTTGTCAAGAAACTGTGCCTTAGTTTTTGCATGTGTAGACCTTCTTTTTTCTTTGAAGACTTAGACCCAATTCTAACTATTCTATGAAGTATTTCCTGATGTCTAGAATTTCTTCTTGATGGAACTATTATTTGAGCCTCTTCTATACCCTTTTGTGCTTGTTCTGTACCCTCTTGTACTTTATTTTGTAAAGATTCATTTATTTGGAAGTAAGAGTTACAGAGAGAGAGGGAGAGAGGCAGAGAGCTCATCTGTTGGGTGGTACACTCTGCAGACGTCTACAATGGCCAGGGCTAGGCCAGTCTGAAGACAGTCAGGAGCTTCATTATGGATCTCCCATGTAGGTGGCAAGGGCCCAAGTACTTGGCCATCTTCCACTGCTTTTTCTCAGGCCAATAGCAAGGAGGTGGATTGGAAGTAGAACATCTAGGACTCGAACTGGCACTCATATGGGATGCTGGAGTCTCAACTGAGTCAAGTGGCCTTACCCACTATGCCACAACGCCAGCTCCCCTCTTGTTTTTTATTGGATTTATTTGTTTACTTATCTGTCATCTGTTTACCCAGAATAACCCTCTCAGTCATACTTATTTTTATATCCTATACAAATTTCTAATTGCAGTGGAAGAATTGAGTTGAGTATGCGAATTTTTAGTCAGTAAGGATATGGGTGAAGGAGGGGAAGTTTTTTAATAGTAGGAAGTATAAGATATACCAGAGTACAGTCAACATCTTGTCAGGAAATAGTATGCTCTAGGCAATTTGAGAATTTAGTAAAGGTACTATTTTTAAAAACTAGTGTATTGGATAAACTGTATGATGGATAAACTGTTTGATGGAGTATAGGAAATTATAAGAAATGATGATGTACTGGGTCTACTGAAAACAGGGAAGGGGAAGGAATAACCAGAACTTGGAGAAAGCAAGCTGTATGGGGTGAGTGTTTGAACATACCAGTTAAGATGCCTTTATTTCACTTAGTGCCCGGATTTGAATCTCAGCTCCAGTTGCAGCTTCCTACTAATGTGAACTCTCAGAGGCAGCAGTGATGTCTCAGTATTTGGGCTCCTGCCACCATGTCTAGGTTGAGTTTCCAGCTCCTGGCTTCTGTCCCTGAGCTGTTGCAGGCCATTTGGGGAGTGAGCCAGTAGATGGGAACTCTGTCTCTCAAGTAAAAGAAAAAATCTGTATGGAGAGGACAGTTAAAGGATGCAGATAGTTAAAGCAGTTTTACAGTGGTATGTGGGACGTAGTATCTTGTTTCTCCTTCAAAATTTCCTGCTGGGCTGATCTCATCTGGAAGACAGCAAGGGGACCTGTTGATGCAAGTTAGTCTCTCAGTACACAGAGTATGTTATAAAATGGAGGAGGGTAAATTCGGAGGAGTTAGATGATTAGCACATAAAGATTTTAGTTATATAATATAATATAATATATATTACATCCTATATGCTGTTATATATATATATGTTTTATATATAATATAATATCCTGTATACTGTTTCAGAGCTTCTAAGTTGTTAGTACAAAGAAGAAAACCTCCAATAACGACTGTTTTATACTGTAAACAAAATAGTTTCTATGAGAAACACAGCTATCCTCATACAAAAATGACACTGAAAAGTGATTTGCTAATAGGTCTCCAGGAGAAGAAATAATTATAGTAAGCATAATTTCACATAATAAGTTACATAAGGCTGTACTTTAAAGATTTTCAGTGTAGACTATCATAATGCCTTATTATAATTTATATAAAGCTTTTCTTCCAGGAGTTTTTCACAGTCTGGATTAGTATTCCTTTAATGTGACCCAACTTCTGTAGCAAAATAGGACAAGGGGTCACTTCAGGGTGGAGCCCAATTTTTTTTTAGAATATAGTTCACAGTATTCCTTAACTACAAATGGGGAATTTAAAGTCTGAATTCAGAGCATGGCTTTGGAAATTCTTAAGGTTGTATTCGCATGTTCCAGTCTCAGTAGTTAGAGAGAGAGAGAGAGAGAAAGAGAGAGAGAAAGGAGAGAGGAAGAGAAAATAAACATATCAATCATAATTAATTCAGTATATATTTCTTATACCTTTTAAAATGCTGTGGGAACACCCTGCATGTTATTGAATAAACAGTAATGCAGATATTTTAGGCTAGGACTGAATACCACAGTTTCACTATAAAGTAGTAAATATTGGAGATTGGTAGAAAAATTATTGTGTTGGTGTGAAGTTGGTTTCTCATAGTTAGCAATGCTTGCTATTTTACTAAGGCTATTTCTAGTTCATAACAATAAAATTGTGCTTTTTATATAAGATATGTATGTACTTTTTGGGGTTCTTTTAGCCATTAGAATTAAGGAGGAAGCGTAAGGAGAATTTTTGTAATAATTATGATTCCAGAACACATTTCTATTTATCTTACTTGGAAATTACTTGTTCTGTTTGCAGACCCTTCTTGACTGTAAACATTAACCACTAAATATAAATGGATTCATATAGTTGTAACTCTAAAAACTGAAAAAGTTGCAGGGTAGGTGTTGGCTCATATTGGAGTACTGTTTCTAGCTCTGGCTACTCTGCTTCCAGACAAGCTTTCTGCTAATGCATCTGTGAGGCAGCAGAAGGTGGCTCAAGTGCTTGGCCTCCTTCAACCCATTTTGGAGATTTCAGATAGAGTTCTGGGCTCCTGGCTTCAGCCTGTCCCCATCCTGGCTATTTGCAGGCATTTGGGGAGTAGACAAGCAGATGGAAGATCTGTTTCTCTCTCTCCCTTTCAAGTAGATGAAACAAAAAATTAAGCTAGCCACCAAAATGTGAGACTTTAGAAAAAATTATTAATCTAAGGGAGAGAGAGTGAGAAAAATACAAAGAAGGTACCCATCCTCTGATTCACTCCCCAAATAACCAAAGCAGCTAGGACTGGGCCATATTGAAACCAGGAGCCAGAATTCTATACAGGCCTCTCACATGAGTGACAAGGACTCAGTTACTGGAGCCAGGAACAGAGCTAGTTATCAAACTCAGGAACTTTTTTTTTTTTTTTAAAGATTTTATTTATGGGACCAGCACTGTGGCATAGCAGGTAAAGCTGCTGCCTGCAGTGCTGACATCCCATATGGGCACCAGTTCAAGTCCTGGCTCCTCCACTTCTGATCCAGCTCTCTGGTATGGCCTGGTAAAGCAGTAGAAGATGGCCCAAGTCCCTGGGCCCCTGCACCCTTGTGGGAGGCCCGGAAGAAGCCCCTGGCTCTTGGCTTCGGATCGGCACAGTTACAACCATTTTGGGTAATTGGGGAGTGAACCAGCAGATGGAAGACCTCTCTCTCTCTGCCCTTTATTATTCCATGTGAATTTTAAGATCAGATTCTGAGATTCCCCAGAATTCCTATACAAATTTTGATCAGAAGTATTATGGAAGCTTAATTCATTTAAGTTATAAATTAATTGAGTGAAAATTGACATTGTTATGATGATTTTTCCATATGAAAGTATGATCTTCTTACCTTTTTTTTAAAGAATTATTTTATTTATTTGAAAGATAGAGTTGCAGAGAGAGAGAGAGAGAGAGAGGTCTTCCATTCTGCTGGTTCACTCCCCAAATGACTGCAATGGCCAGAGCTGAGCTGATCCAAAGCCAGGAGCCAGGAGCTTCTTCCGGGTCTCTCATGCAGCTGCAGGTGCCCAAGGAGTTAGACCATCTTCTACTGCCTTCCCAGGCCATAGCAGAGAGCTGGATCATAAGTGGAACAATTGGGACTTGAACCGGTGCTCCTTACTTTTTTTAAAAGGTTTATTGGGGCCTGTGTTGTGGCACAGCAGGTTAAGCCCCATCTGTGACACCAGCATCCCACTGGGGCACCGGTTCAAGTTCTGAATCAGCTCCCTATTAATGCGTTTGGGAAAGCAACAGAAGATGGTCCAAGTAGTTGAGCCCCTGCCACCTTTATAGGAGACCCAGATGGAGTCACCGGCTCCTGGCTTCAGCCTGGCTCTGCCCCAGCTGTTGCAGCCATTTGGGGAGTACACCCAGTGGATGGAAGATGGATCTCTCCCTCTCTCTCTCCCTCTCTCTCTTTCTTTCTCTCTCTTTCCCTTCTCTATCTCTATGCCTCTCAAATAAATAAATCTTTATTTTACAAAATGTTATGGGTTTTATGTTAATATAATATACAGTAATTTTGGTGATTTATTAGATGTGATATTCTTTTAGATAATTATATAGAAAATTGTTTCCCAAAACCAGTTTTGTCGGTTGGGTCTTAATTTAATGCTACATAATGGTGTATTGAATTAAATAGGATCTCTGTCTAATATTAAATAGCAGACTTTTTTGTTATTCCTTATTTTAATGGTAATCCATCTAAAATTTTACTATTAAATGTGATGTTTAATTTTTTAACATACTATTTATTAGACTTTGGTTAAAATATTTTTATGTAAATATCTATTTTATGATATTACCCTGAATTTTCCATTAAATGATTTTAATCAAACCAGAGTCATTTATAGAATTAAAAAGATAATGAATCTGGTTGATTCTCAGCTATTCTGATGTCTACAGTTTAAGCATTTGTGTTTTCAGAAAACATTGTGGGTACCAGAGGTATTTTGGTTTTGTTTTTGTTCCCATTATAGAGATTGAATTTTATTGAATGGTTTTTCTGCATCCAGAAAATGATCATAAGGCTTTTCTGTTATGGTTTGGTTTGGTTTTTACAAGATGGTGTTAGTAATAGATTTTTTCATTGTTGAATCTTTTATCCATTTCTGAATAGTAGCGTAGGCATGATACAAGGGTTACTCAGAAGGACTAGAAGGGCAGAATTACAGTAATAATGGATTGTACAGAGTTGTGATGGGAAAGCATTTATAAAGTGCTTTAACTTTGATGTTAAAATCTTGTAACTAGAAGTTTTGTTATTATGTACCCTTTTGGTGAAAGAATTGAGTGTGTACTCGCAGTATTTATGTGTTTATTTATTTAAAAACCACACATGATGGCCAGCACTGTGGTGCAGAAGCCATGGCCTGCAGTGCCAGCATCCCATATTGGTGCCAGTTCCAGTCTTGGCTGCCCCACTTCTGATCCAGCTCCCTGATAATGCACCTGGGAAAAGATGGCCCAAGTCCCTAGGCATCTGTACCCATGTGAGAGACACAGAGGAAGCTCCTGGTTTTGGCCTGGCACAGCACTGGCCATTGTGGCCATTTGGGGAGTGAACCAGTGAATGGCTCTCTAACTCTAACTCTATCTTTCAAATAAATAAATAAATCTTTTCTTTTTTTTAACATTTATTTATTTGGTAGATGGAGTTAGAGGGAAAAGGAGAGAGAGAGAGAATCTTTCTTACTCTGGTTTACTACCCAAATGGCTGCAATGGCTGAGAATGGGCCAGGCTAAAGCCAGGAGCCAGGAATTCCATCTGGGTCTCCCATGTGGGTGGTAAGGGCCCAAGTAGTTGGGCCATCATCTGCTGCTCTCCTAGGCACATTAGCAAGGTGCTGAATCAGAAGTGGAGCAGCTGGGACTTGAATTTGCTTATATGGGATGCCAGTGTTGCAGGCTAAGGCTTAACCTGCTGTACAATACCAGCCCCTATGCCTGTCCTCTACAATACTCATCCTTCATGTACATCTAAAAGCATCAGTAGTTGAAATACAATAAAAATAAATAAATTATTTTAAAAATAATTTCTTTAATGGTATAGTGTAGAAGTTTTGTTCTTAATGTTTTATTTTTTATTGAAAACAATATTGACTATAAAAGGTTTTTTTTAACACTGTTGACTCAGTAATTCAAAAATTTGGATCTGGATTCATTTTATTTGATTATGGCTCTTTTTTTAAAAAAAAAGATTTATTTATTTATTTGAAAGGCAGAGTTATGGTGAGGCAGAGGCAGAGAGAGAAAGGTCTTCCATCCACTGGTTCACACCTCAAATGACCACAATGGCTGGAGCCAGCAGCCAGGAGCTTCTTCCTGGTCTCCCACACAGGTGCAGGGCCCAAGGACTTGAGCCATCTTCTACTGCTTTCCCAGGCCATAGCAGAGAGCTGGATTGGAAGTGGAGCTGGGACTCGAACCAACACCATAGCGTTGGAACCCTGATTATTACTCTTGTAGCTAAGAAAGATAACCTACCAAACAAAATGTGTAATTCAAATGAAGAAATATGTCTGCCAGGGGTTGAAATTTTTCTGTCTTGTTCTTTAAATATCAAGAGGGCTGTTAATGAAATTTTCATCTTTACTGATGATGTTATATAATTGTTCTTACAAACCAATCAGAAGTTATAATAGTATAATAAAGAGCATATTCGGCCAGCGCCGCGGCTCACTAGGCTAATCCTCCGCCTTGCGATGCCGGCACACCGGGTTCTAGTCCTGGTCGGGGTGCCGGATTCTGTCCCGGTTGCCCCTCTTCCAGGCCAGCTCTCTGCTGTGGCCAGGGAATGCAGTGGAGGATGGCCCAAGTGCTTGGGCCCTGCACCCCATGGGAGACCAGGATAAGTACCTGGCTCCTGCCATCGGATCAGCGCCGTGCGCCGGCCGCAGTGCGCCGGCCACGGCGGCCATTGGAGGGTGAACCAACAGCAAAAGGAAGACCTCTCTCTCTCTCTCTCACTGTCTACTCTGCCTGTCAAAAAAAAAAAAAAAAAAAAAGCATATTCAAAACCCAGTGATTGTGTTTATTAGGAAGATTTTTCAACTGGTTTGAAAAATCTGTTACCATTTGCATGGATATGAAAAATTTTTAAATAGGTGTCACATACTATTTTTGTTAACAGAATCATATAACAACCCTTTAATAAATGTTCTCTCCATAGTTTATTTTACGAATTAAAATATTTTAATTCCAGTTTTGTTTAAATACCACTTTTACCTGAACAGATGATTAATAACTGCTGAAAAGGAATCAAATAGTGGTTTAGTATTCTTATATTTGGGTATGTAGCTAAACAATGAAGTTTGCTTGCTTGCCTTTGCATATACTATGTGTATTCTATTGAATGGCCTTATGACCACATTGATGAGGTGCTGTAACATGAAAGTGAAAATCGCTTTATAAAATACCCATTCTTCCCTCAGGACTCCTCTGATACTCCTCATGACATATGAATCTGTCAAATGAAAATGTCAAATTCTTTATAATAAATGTTAGTGAAGCCTAGTTTTGTTCCTTTTAGGCTATAAAATAAAAGGAGCATTCAAGTATTTTCTTAAACTTACTCACTTTGGAGGCCACAATCTTAAACCATATCCTAGTTGGAAGTCAAGAAGTTCACAAATTCTTGAGTCTAGTCCAGAGTTTATAAACTTACTGCTAAAGATAAAGGAATAGAATTTAACATAGTTCTGCAAAATTCTATATTTATGCTTTTGTAACTTTGCAAATATTTATTTTGAAGAACCCAATAAGTGGACTTATTTTATTGGAAAAGTAATTAATGCTATAATTTAAAGTTCAGACTATGAAAACAAGTAAGACTAGTCTTTTTCATTAACAGTTCAAGATAATGAACTATTAATGTATTTTGTTATTTATTTAGGGTGTTAACTTTTCCCCCTCTGCTTCTTAAGTAATAGGAGTGAAACATCCACATCTGATAACACAGAAACTTACCAAGAGAATACAAGGTAAGCTTTTGAAAAAATTTTAGGAAATAATATTCATCACTTTATCAAACAATAATAGATAAGCCTTTTTAATCAGTTAAGTCTCTAAGAACAGTGCTGGGAGTTAGCTCATTAGAAATGAATAATACACTTTCTGCTTTTAAGAATCACGGTAGATGAGGAGAGCTTTTCTCTCTCACTGTGTTCAGGTATCTTCCTGCATGATTCAGGTATATTTGTCATTGTTGAACTGTCTTACTGGAATTCAAAGCTATAAAATCCAGTTGATGCTTGATCCTCAAAATATTTTGAAGTAGTGCATTCTAGTGAACATTGCTTTGGTGTTTTCTTGAGAATTTTGTATGTTAGATTCCAAGGACCTGGACTAGACTAAGGTTGTAATATTAATCGAGGTTTTTTTTAAAATTTTCGATGTTTTTTTTTTTTTTTTTTTGACAGGCAGAGTGGACAGAGAGAGACAGAGAGAGAAAGGTCTTCCTTTTGCCGTTGGTTCACTCTCCAATGGCCGCCGCTGCAGCCGGCGCACCGCGCTGATCCTGGCAGGAGCCAGGAGCCAGGTGCTTTTCCTGGTCTCCCATGGGGTGCAGGGCCCAAGCACCTGGGCCATCCTCCACTGCACTCCCTGGCCATAGCAGAGAGCTGGCCTGGAAGAGGGGCAACCGGGACAGAATCCGGTGCCCCAACCGGGACTAGAACCCGGTGTGCCGGCGCCGCAAGGTGGAGGATTAGCCTATTGAGCCACGGCGCCGGCTTAAAATTTTCGATGTTTTAAGATGTGAGGACTTTGGGACTCCACAGGATAATTGAAAATTTCAAGGGAGTTACAGTAATATCTGATGGCATCACATCAATGACTATATTAAGTTTCATCCTAACTTCTTAAAAACAGCTAGGGTTTTGTTTGTTTGTTTGTTTTATCTTAGAGGCACCATGAAAAAAATTAGCTGAGATACTAAGAGTACTGTAACTGAGATTGTATTCTACATCATTGTTGAAAATACATTTCCAAAATGAGAGCATCTTTGAATAATCTTATGACTGTAAGTTTTTAAAAGAAAAATTAGAATAGTTGGTCAAAAAATAGTAGAACATCATTTCTATGTTAAAATTTTGAATTAAGTATGCTTCATGTAAAATTGTTTTGTAGTTCTTCTGGACATCCCACCTTTAAATGTCCCTTGTGTCAAGAATCAAATTTTACCAGGCAACGTTTACTGGATCACTGTAACAGTAATCACCTATTTCAGATAGTTCCTGTGGTAAGTAAATATTTATAAGCTGCTCAGATTAAAGCATATTGTTCCATTTATTTTACTTTATATGTACAACAAGGGAATGCAGGTGAATTAAATTTGGATGGGGCATTATCTGTAAAGTCAATTTTTGTCAACAAATGATTAATAACTATGAAGCAAAATGAGTTTTTTTAAAGGTTTATTTATTTATTTTATTTGAAAGGCAGAGTTACAGAGAGGCAGAGGCAGAGAGAGAGCTCTTCTATCCACTGGTTCACTCCCCAAATGGCCACAACAGCCCAAGCTGGGCAGATCCAAAGCCAGGAACCAGGAGGTTCTTCCACATCTCCCACACATGTGCAGGAACCCAAGGACTTTTGGGCCATCTTAGTGCTTTCCCAGGCCATAGCAGAGAGCTGGATTGGAAGTGGAGTAGCCAGATCTCACTGCATCCACATGGGGTGCTGGTGCTACACCACAGCGCCGGCCCCAGCAAAAGGAGATATTTAAAATTTCAGTAACTTACATCACAAAATTGGAGATGCGTACTGGAAGGTGATATAAGAGGACAGTTTGAAGAAGAGTGAAATAATTAAAGATGAGCCAGGATTCTTTATTGAGCAGTGGCAAAACCTAACACTATAGTTCCATAGGATGCAAATAGTTGGATCTGGTCAGGTGGATTTGCTGTAGGTGAAAATAACCTTTATAAGAATAAAGACACTATGTAGATATTTTAACTGTGTCCTTGCAGAATCTGGTGTATGAATGCATTAAACAAGTAAGAAAAAGAATCATACTGTTTTTTATACACATGCATGTTTTTGATGGCATTTTTTAAAAAATTTATTTATTTGAAAGTCAGGGTTACAGAGAGAGAGAGAGGGAGAGACAGTCAGAGAGAGAGAGAGAGAGAGAGATCTTCCTTCTGCTGGTTCACTTACCAAATGGCTGCAACAGCCAGGGCTAGGCCAGCCAAAGCCAGGAGCCTAGAGTTTCTGGGTATTCCACATGGGTGCAGGGGACCGAGGACTTGGGCCATCTTCCACTGCTTTCCCAAGCCATAGCAGAGAGCTGGATTGGAAGAGGAGCATCTGGGTCTCAAGCTAACACCCATATGGGATGCCGGCATGCAGGCTGAGACTTAAGCCCACTATGCCACAGCGCCAGCCCCCCTTGTTGCCATCTTAAGAGTGCAATGAAAAGAAAGCAGTGAAACCTTTTTGATGGATGAGAGAGATAAGATTCCAACATTGTGTCAATGCTCTAAGAACTCTTTGTTTCAAAGATAAGTTTAACAGATAAGTGATTTCAACTTATTTAGGTGATAGAACAGGAGAAACTGAGCTGCAAGACATACATCGCTTTCAGCTGTACCTTTTTTTTTTTTTTTTATGATTGATTTATTGGTTTGAAAGAGTGATAGCTTCCATCAGCTGGTTCACTCCCCAAATGACCACAGCAGCCAAGTCTGGTTCAGGCCAGAGCCAGGAACCAGGAACTCCATCCTGGTCTCCCAGTGGTTGGCCTGTTCTCTGTGGCCTTCCCAAGTGCATTGTCTGGAAGCCATACTAGAAGCTGACTAGAAGCTGGGACTTGAACCAGAATTCTGCCAGCATCACAAATGGCAGCTTAACCTTCTGCACCACAATGCCGGGCCTTCAGCTGACATTTTATACATAAAAATTACCTTCAGAAATCAGAATAGGAGGAAAGTGTTACCAATAAAAACTGTAGGTATTTCAAAGCTGTTTTAGTAAATGTACTAGAAATAATTTTGAAAAGAACTTGCCTTGGTAAATATTGAGGATGCTTTTAAACTCTTGCATAACACCCAGGGAGTTATACCAGCTACTTCGCTCATTAAAAAAGCAAATACAGTGTCAGTCTCTAGGAAATTTCACTCAGTTTTATACTGAATTACCAGATTTTTATTCTTCTCTGGATAATATTTAATATGTCATCCACTGGCTAGAGTATAATTAGTGAAGTTCTTTTTTATATTATTTCAGTTTGTCATCCACAAACATTTTTAGGTACAGTTTCTTTAAAATTTTAAGGTGGCAGGTTTTTTTTTTGTTTTGTTTTGTTTTTTTGGTAAAGGATTTGTTTATTTGAAAGGCAGAGTGAGAGACAGAGATCTTCCTTCTGCTGGTTCATTCCCCAAATGGCTGCAATGGCTAGGGCTGTGTCAGGCTGAAGCCAGGAGCTGGGAATTCATCTGGGTCTCTCATATGGGTACATGTGCCCAAAGAGTGGGCTATCTTCTGTTTCCCAGTTGCATTAGCAGGGGGCTGGATGAAAAATGAAGTATCTGGGACTCCCAATGGGTGCCCATATCGGATGCCAGCATCACAGATGGTACCTTAACCCACTGCACCACAACACCAACCCTAAGGATGCAATTGAAAGTATATTTTAGAATTTACTTCATTTGCATTTTCAGTGTATATGAAATGAAACTAGTAATTATATTGCTGTTGTCTAGATCAAGTGAGTGTATACTGCATGTTATAGGCAGGCGGGTAATGGTAACTGTCATTACAGCTGGCATTTTTAAAGGTTGGATGTGGTGTTTCTGTGGAATGTTGTAAACTTGATTTATGTGACTAGAATGTTTCTCATTACACTGTATTATATGTCATAAATTTAGCTTTTAGAAATGCTTTCCATATACCAGGCATACTTCAAATATCGTTGAGTTCTAGACAGCTCTAGTATGTGCATATTGGATTAAAGCAACCCGCACGATTATTTTGGTTTCTCAGTGCATATGGAAGTTAGATTTTATGGTGTGGTCTGTTAAGTGTCAATAGAATTATATCAAAAAACAATGTACATACCTTAATTAAAAAATACTTTATTGCTAAAAATGTCAACCATCATTTCAGCTGTTGGAGAAATGGTGCCAACAGACTTGCTTGGTGCAGGGGTTTTCACACACCTTCAATTTGTTTAAAAACAAATTAAAAAAAACTTCCAAGTACAGTAAAGCAAGGTATGCCTGATGTTTTTGGTAACATGAGCCTGTTGTTTTAATACTCTTAGTAATTATATAATGTTTAGTTTTCATTATTTTTTATGTAAAACAATCTGTTTCTCATAGACGTGTCCTATTTGTGTGTCTCTTCCTTGGGGAGATCCTAGCCAGATTACTAGAAATTTCGTTAGTCATCTAAATCAAAGACATCAGTTTGATTATGGAGAATTTGTGGTAAGTGAATTCTTCAAGATTAAGAAAGTACTGTTTAAATAGTCAAGTTAAATTATGTTTTTCAATCTAGACTTGAGTTTTGAGACAAGCTATTGTATCATACTATTAGATATACCGCAAATTCTTCTTAAAAGCAAATTGTTTTTAATAATATTGGTGAACTTTAGTTGTTGAATTTAATGCTCACTTCTATACTAGGGAGAAAATTAATAGAGGAAGAACAAACTCCCACATCAACAAAATGATGATTTCTATGGAAACCCTGTCTAGATTTAAAGAAAAATTATACTTACTAGAAAAGTAAAATCGGTACAACATATAAAGGAATGATATATTTCTCATGTAATGTAAAGTGCTTGTTAAATCCACTGTAATTTCTCACTTCTAGCATGAGACATTTTCTTTTTTAAAAATGAGGGAGCTTCATTATCAGGCAAAACTGGGTTGATGGTTTAACTGAGTGAGGAATTTACATAATATAAAAAAAAAGATCCCTAAAGCAAAAATGTAGAGTTACTTTCTACTTCCCAAATATGTTATAATTTTTCTAACTAGATGATGACTTCTGTTTTATTAATAGGTAAATTACATTTCATTCAGCTTCAGTGTAATTAAGACTTTTTTTTTTACTTCAAGATTAATCCTTGCAAAGAATGGCTGATAATTGTTTTCCAGTTTAGGTAAACAAAGGCATATGCAGTTCTCACAATGACATGAACCAAATTTGCATTTGTCTTTGCTCTCTAGTGTTGAGATCACATCATTCTTGATAAATTTTTTTAATTTTATCAAATATGTATTTTGTATTTTATTTCAAAATAATTCAAATGTATAAAATTTATGTATTTAGTAATTTTATGAAATAATTTAGTAGATTATTCTCATATGAAAGGTTACTGTGCATAGAGAGCTGTGTTTGGAAAATTGCATTTTATGAACCGCTTTTGATCTAATTGTCAGATTGTTTTACCTTGCCAAAGAAAAATATATAATTATGATAAGTTGAAGTTGTCAAGTGGAAGCCTTGAGATACATATATTTTTTTAAAGATTTATTTATTTATTAATTTATTTGAAAGGCTGAGTAAAAGAGGAGAGACAGAGATTTTCCAAATGGCTGCAAGGCCAGGGCTAGGCCAGACCTGAAGGCAGGAGTTAGGAGCTTCATCCCAGTTTTCCACATGGTTGCAGGGACCCAAGCACTTGGGTCCTTCCCACTGTTTCTCTAGGTGCATCAGCAGGGAACTGGGTCAGAAGTGGAGCTTCCAGCACTCCCAACAGGTGCCCATATAGGATGCCAGTGTCACAGACAGTGGCTTAATCTGCTGTGCCACAACACTGGCCCTAGCTTTGATAGATACTTTGTTGTTGTTGTTAGGTCCTAAAATTAAGAGTGAATGGAATGTTTAAACTTAAAGAATAGTTTTCTGAGCAAACTACAGTTTTTAGTTCATGACATTTATTATTAATAGTTATTTAAAATCAGTTTACTTTCAGATACTTGACATTCATTCCTAAAGATGAGTTAAAATTACCTGTGCTTTATTTATTTATTTTTTAAGATTTATTTATTTGAAAGTCAGAATTACAGATAGGCAGAGACAGAGAAAGAGAGGTCTTTCATCTGCTGATTCACTCCCCAAATGGCTGCAACAGCCAGAGCTGGGCCAGTCCGAAGCCAGGAGCCAGGAGCTTCTTCTGGGTCTCTCACGCAGGTGCAGGGGTCCAAGGATTCAGGCCATCTTCCACTGCTTTCCCAGGCCATAGCAGAGAACTAGGTAGGAAATGGAGCAGCCAGGACTTGAACTGGTGCCCATGAGGAATGCTGGCACTACAGGCAGCAGCTTTACCTGCTACACAGCGCTGGCCTCTTGTGCTTTTAATTAATGATAATAACTCAGATTTCATTCATTACTGATCTCCTGTTTGTTCATTATTACCAAATAATTATAACAACTTAATTTGTATTAAAGTAAATTTAAATAAAATCGTATTTAAATCTTACATGTTAAAAATACAGTGTGTTGCACATAAACTGTACGGAGTGGATATTATGTATCAAGATGTATAATGTATTGGCCAAAATATTTAGTGGAGTATTTTTTTCCCTACTGATATGTTAATGTTACTGTTTTTAGAATCTTCAGCTAGATGAGGAGACCCAATATCAAACTGCTGTTGAAGAATCTTTTCAAGTAAATATCTGAAGATTGTAGTCATCTCTGCATCTTTGTACCTGCAAGTGCCATCTTTTAAGAGAAAAGTACATGAAGTCATCGTTTTCAGTAACTTGATGTGTATATTAATAAAAATAATTCAGTCTATTGTTTTAGTTTTTTGATTGAAAAATAAAGGTGGGCATCTAAAACTTCATCTTCTGGATAAGTAAAAATTGAAAATTTGACATTCGTTTGAAAAGCATAAAAGATTACATTTCATTAATGTTGTGAAAGGGGGAATCCCTATTGTACTTTTTTATATTACACATATTCTTAAATTTTTCATTATTATGTTGTTTTTAAAATTTGGTGCAGTTTCCTCTCACTTTATTTACACAGGTAACACACAATAGGAAATTCTGAAAGATACAATTGATATAAATAAACAATTCTGAGCCAGATACTGGAGTTGCAGAATGCAGACTTGAAGTGCTAAATGAAATGATCCAAAGGAAAGTTTTTAAATACATATTCTAGCTAATTCAAGTATTAGAAAATTGTATTTATATAAAACTATTAGTATTTTTCAAGAATAGTGAGATTTCTTTAATAATTTTTAACTATTTAAAAAAGTGAAAGCTCATTATAAAGGTAGTTTCTTTTCCTATTAGTAGAAAATACCAAGATACACATTTCTTTGAACAAGTAATTTCAATCTTCTTTGATTCGTTTGTAAATCTGAAATTTACTAAGCTATCTAACAGCTCTTTGGCCTCAGAATTTTCAAGTCAGTGTTTCTGATTGGCTAAGATCAAATTTATTAGAAAAATTCAAGTTTGTCTTCATTTCACTTTAGAAAGTCATTCAAAGTTAAAAATATTGTGTATATACATATACTGCATATGTATATGCACATACACATACATACATGCAGTTTGTCAAGTTTTGTAGAATTTTTGTTAAAGATTTTAACAATGAGCAGGCAATATGGGATTGAGTGTTTATCAGATTTGATACAAATTTTGTCTATCACCAAATGTTTAAAATTAGTCAAATGCTACATGGTCTGGTGGGCTGGTATTACACCTTAAAATCAGTTTACACACACAAATGATCTGTTTCAATGGTGCTCATTTGTTATTCTCAAAGGTAACATATGACTATGATAATAATGAGACAGATTCTGCCAGTCACTGTTTCACTTCTTTTAAATCAAAACTGGGTTAGTTTTTCGTATTAATTAATGGGACTCATAAAGTATTTTGTGGAAGGCAAATCACATACTAAATGATGAAGAGTGGATTAGCTGACATTCCATACATATGCGTTGTTTATGCTTTCGTTAACTAGATACAAAAGAAAATCTCAGTAGTTTGCTGCTAATATATACATTTATTGTATAAAAAGGTATATTTTGGTTTTGTTAAAACCCTTGTTGACTTTTCTACATTGAACTTTTTTTAACTTGATTTAATAAAAATGTTAATTTTGGAAGTGGAGTTTTGTAAAACCCTTTTTCAGTCTAACAGTAATGACTTTATGCATTATAGTAACAATCACAAAAGCCATACATCTTAATGAACATACCTTTGTTCTGTCATTCTAAAGAGTGAAACTTACTATGTGTTTGAACATTTTCCCTGCAGTTACATGAGCATAATTTTAAGAATAGCTGTAGTTTTAAAGTGATGACTATAGTTTTTACCAGTTTAAAGCAATAACTTTAGTAGCTTCTTTCAAAGTATGATATGTCCAGTCCAGTATGCCAAATTAAACCATTCTTGTACTTAAGAACTTTAAAGGAAAGTTGTAGCAGAGATCATCTTGATGAAACTGCTTTGAAATTTTATGGATGACTTACATATCATTAATAGTCTTGTGTCTGGGCCGGCGCCGCGGCTCAATAGGCTAATCCTCCACCTAGCGGCACCGGCACACTGGGTTCTAGTCCTTGTCGGGGCGCTGGGTTCTTTCCCAGTTGCCCCTCTTCCAGGCCAGCTCTCTGCTATGGCCCGGGAAGGCAGTGGAGGATGGCCCGAGTGCTTGGGCCCTGCACCCTATGGGAGACCAGGAGAAGCACCTGGCTCCTGCCTTCGGATCAGCGCGGTGCGCCGGCCGCAGCGCACCGGCCACGGCGGCCATTGGAGGGTGAACCAACGGCAAAAGGAAGACCTTTCTCTCTCTCTCTCTCTCTGTCACTATCCACTCTGCCTGTCAAAAAAAAAAAAAAAAAATAGTCTTGTGTCTGATGACCCTTTTTATAAAGAAAATAGTGACTTTATTTACTTTAGGAACTCCTTGGTGCGGAAATGATTGTTTAAAATCTCCCCTCCTTTTGTTAGTTGAATGGGATTAGGGATAAGCTTTAGAGATTTAATTCATGGAAGAGTCCTTATTTTTAATATTGTTTATAGCAGAGTTAAGAAAGCAGAGGGAAACTGTAATGATACTCTGAACCTAAATTTATCTACCACAAAGGCAAGCTATTTCAGCAGATTAAGAGTTTATGGTGTTAAACATAGTCTTGAGATGTATTGCTTTATTTTTCAATTAAAAGTTGTTTTCTCCTCTTGTATGTCTAATTACAGTTTTGTCAAGAGGAAAACAACTTCTATAACTCATCCTGAAAGACGTGTAGGAGATAACCTGTTACTTTGCACTTTAAGCAGTGAAAAGCTGTCACATGCTGATGTGATATATTTAAGCCTATTACCTATTTCAAATGTTAAATACTTTATGAAGCTACTTTATGATGTGTTCATACAGCAAGATTTTCAGGCCCTCCTAGCCAGGCAGCAAGCAAGTTAACGGTTACTAAACACTTTAAAAAGTTACCCTTACATAAAGCTGTCCAGGGGTGGGACAGGGGGCCAGTGTTGTGGCATGGCCTTTGGTCTTAGCATCCCTTATGGGTGCCTGTTCAAGTTCCAGGTCCTCCACTTCTGGTTCAGCTCCCTACTAATGCACCTGGGAAAGGAACAGAAGATGACTGGAGTGCTTGGGCCCCTGCACCCACATGGGAGACTTACATGAAGCTCCTGGCTTGTGACTTCATCTTGGTGCAACCCCAACCATTGCAGCCATTTGGCTAGTGAGCCAGCAGGTGGAAGATCTCTCCCTTTCTAACTTGGTCTTTCAAATAAATAAATCTTAAACTGTTAAGGACTATAGGGATATATTGCCAAATGCAATGTCATGTATCTATTTGAGTATCAGTGAGTCATAACTTCTTTAGAAACCCCTTAGAACTCCTATTATAGTATACACTTTGTAGAAGGGGTGACCCAGAAAACATGTAAATATATGTAGTATAAAACTGAAAATAGAAATGTGAAGCATTGTGGTATCGCTAGTGGGCACTGTAATTTTCTAATTCTGCAGTATGGTTTTGAAAAGGGGTAGGGGCTGGAGATGAGTTACACTGAGAAATTAATGGAGAATACAGGAACCTCAGAATAGGTAAAACTGCATGTCCCTACCCCAACAGCAACTTTCCAGTCCTTAAGTTGAGAGGTGACAGTCACTGGACTCTGCATCCCTGAAAGGAGAATGGTGAGTATAGTCCAGTGTTCTCAGTTGACAAACTTGCCTGAAGCTATACAGTTTTCTAGTAGGAATTCATAAGAGTATAATGGCAAGTAGATATGCAGAATTCAAGGTGAGTTGGGGGGGCTGGCGCGTTGGCACAGTACATTAATCCTCTGCCTGTGGTGCCAGCATCCCATATGGGCACTGGTTTTAGTCCAAGGTGCTCCTCTTCCAGTCCAGCTCTGTACTCTGTGGCCTGGGAAAGCAGTAGAAGATAGCCCAAGTGCTTGGGCCCCTGCACCTTCATGGGAGACTGGGAAGAAACACCTTGCTCCTGGCTTTGGATCCGCGCAGCTGCAGCCATTTCAACCATTTGGGGAGTGAACCAACGGAAGGAAGCCCTTTCTCTGTCTCTCTTTCTCACTGTCTGTAATGCTACCTCGAATGAATAAAAATCTTAAAAAAAAAAAAAGCTGGATAGGAGGGTGAATGTGGAAGAGAAACCAGATGAATTACAGCCATTCAAGGGAGGATATGGAATAGAAGGAAGTAGAAATGTACAGGATGTGAGGGAGGAAATTTCCTAAGTGGGCAGTAATGGTACATGATTAGTTCAATGTACAAGAACCCGAGTAATCAGTACTAAGATCAAGACAAAACACTAGAATCCTGTAAGCCTCATTTTTCCTACTTCCAGTCAACCACCACCATCACCTTGTATGTACCTTCTTTCAAGTGCTTCTTTCATGTATGCCAGCACAGTTAGGAGGGGAGGGAGGTTGCCAAATGTAGGTAGAAACTAAATACTGATTGGTCTGCTCATAGTGACAGGAAAATTAGGTGAAGAGTAACTAAATGCCTTCTGCTGTATATCAAGGTGTCCTTTTGACTTCTATAGATTGTGGTGTTTTGTTTTGTTTTGTTTTGTTTTGTTTTTTGGTGCTCTATTATCACAGGTCAGGGAGAACCTATGGTATTTGTTCTTTTGGGACTGGCTTATTTCACTAAGTATGATGTGTTCCAATATAATCCATTTGATTGCAAAGATTTTTTTTTTACTATTATGTAACATTCCATGTTGTACATATCCCATAAGTTCTTCATCCAGTCTTCAGTTGATGGTACAAATATTTTCTCATATTCTGTCAATTGTATCTACAGTTTGCTGAGTGTGTATTTTGCAGTGCAGAAGTTTCTCAATTTGGTATAATTCCATTTGTCAATTTTGGCTATTATTGCCTGTGCCTCTGGGGTCTTTTCCAAGAACTCTTGGCCTATACTAATGTCTTGCAGCTTTCCCCCAATGTTCTCTAATAATTTGAAGGTATCGGGTCCTAGATTTAGGTCTTCATTTTATTTTGAGTGTTTTTTTGTGTAAGGTGGGGTCTTGCTTCAAACTTCTGCATGTGGAGATCCAGTTTTCCCAGCACCATTTGTTGAAGAGACAATCCTTGCTTCAGGGATTGATTTTAGCTCCTTTGTCAAAAGTAAGTTGGTTGTAGATGCATGAGTTGATTTCTGGTGTTTCTATTCTATTCCATTGGTCTACCCATCTGTTTTTGTGCCAGTACCAGTCTGTTTTGATTACAGTTGCTCTGTAGAATGTCTTGAAATCTGGTATTGTGATGCCTCTGGCT